TAAGGAAATAAAAGTCAAGGGAGAAAAATAGGAGGAAACTTCTGTGAGACAAAAAAAAAGCGTGAGGGAGGGTTGATGAGGACATGACAAGAAGTGACAAAAGACGGAGGAGGGGAGGAAACGAGCGCGACAGAGGGAGCGACTTCAGAAAACATATGATTGGGTGCTGGGGCCAAATTTTGAGCACACACGAATGCACACAGACACTCGCGCTCTCTCTCACACACACACACACACACACACACCGGATGAATCTCCAAGCTTCTCCAGCAGATTTCAGCCTGTATAGCCCGTCTCACCCCGACACATGGTCTCCGCAGGGGGGGGCAGGGTGAGAGGGGTGGAGAGACAGACGCAGCGAGTTCGAGTGGATATCGAAAGTGAGGACGTAGAGGACAGGAGGAAGGAAGCAAACTAACAACAAGAGGTTTAGGAGGAAGTCATGAAGCACCGCTGAGATCGGCAGCATTAAAATTAAGCGCACACTTCTTCGTAGAATAAGGGAATGCATGGGGGGTAAAGGGAAGAGAAGGGAGGCGTGGAGTAAATTACAGAGGGAAGGAGAGCAATAGCAAAGGAATAGCTGGGTGGCGAATGTGCCTGGAGCCCGGATTGTGGAGCAGCAAACAGCAGAGATAATAAGAGTCTGCTGAAGGCGCGCGCCACACGCGGTAATTATATAGAAAGAGCTGCCTGCCTTAATTAGAACAGGATGGAGCTCACGAGTGGGATCGAAAAAACACACACGCACAAACATGCATGAAACAGCATTTGCGAGGTGAATTACTACATCATTTATTCCCCCATCGGCCTGTTCGTGCTGGCGGCGCTCCGTAATGAGACTGGAGAACATGCGCACGTGCGTGATCACCGCTGCAAGTACGCGTTGCGCAAATTTGTGACTGCATTCGGGGTCGAGATGTATAGTAATGTATAGTTTCTTCTTTTTTTTCGCTTCTCCACCTTTATTACACAAGAGGAAGCTGAGTGGGCGCATATGCTAATTTTCAATAACAGCCTCCTTCACATTTACCCTCCTCTTCACGTTCACAGTTAGAATCTGGTCGAGTGCCGCCGCAGTCTCCTCAGCGACAGGGATTAAGTGTCTCATTCATTTTAGACGCCATGCTTTTATTTCTTTCTATAGTTTATGGAGGATTGAAAAGCTCATATTGCTCACAGACTTAAATCCAAAACCACTTACACTTTCAATGACATCCATGTCTGTAATGCATTATAATGTGATGAGAAGTTACTCTAACTGTTTGCTTCAAGTAAAGTGGAAATTCATTTTATAATGGTTTGTGGTGTTCTTGCATAGATTTTTTCACCTTAAAGTAAACAACGACCACTTAGAGTAACTCGTGATCACATTATAATGCTTTAGAACTTTATAATGCATTACAACCATGGGAATCATAACACTATGATCCTTGCAACAACAACAAGATGTCAGTGAGTGACCAGCAGTAATGAAGTATTCAGATACATGACCTTATTATTCATTACAAACTTTTAAATCGTTTGTTATGAAGCAATATGAATAGTTATGAGTGATAAGTAGAATAGAGTGATATAAGCTGATTATTACACATTATGAGTAGGTTTATAATGCATTAAAGACATATAGAAAGTGGTACTCCTCTTTTCAATGTTTCTTGTGCAGGTTGTTTGTACCCAATGGTTACGACGCATTTGTGTTTGCGTCAGTTTTGCTTATTTATGAAGAACATAAACATGATGAGGCATGTGGGAAAGAATCCCAGCATATATCAGGGGAATGGATTTAGGATCGTGTTTGTTGTGCTCAACCAAAGTTCCACATTTCAATCTGTTGTAATACAATTATTTATCCAGAGTGAAATGGGGTACAAATGATTGTGCAGTGGCGCCCCCTTGCAATGTGTGTCATATATATATATATATGCTGAATTATCCCTGCCCATAAATATAGAGGCAGTGTAAAAACACATCTTTGAAAAACCTGAACAAAATATAGAAACATTTGTGCCTGTGAACTACAAGATCATTCTTCAGCTTACTCCATACCACATAAATATGCAAAATACCATAAAACCATCATCTCATATTTACAACCTGGGAGTATTTGGGGAAGTATCACAAGCAAACACAGGCTTTGCCTGGACTTTCTGCTGTATCTGCTTGTTAAATTAAGCTAAGTCCAGTCAGTCAGCAATCGAACAACGATGCATTTATCTGCATGAACATAGCAGAAAAGGTTAGAGATGGTACAATACAGCAACAGATGCTGTAATCTGAAGTAATCCGGTGTTGCCTGGGTCTGGCGTGACTGTTACATGGCGTGTGGAAATAATCCTCTTCTCTCCTGCACGACTATCTGCTTACACCATTATCAATAGCTACTCACCGGCCGCTCGATACCATCGACCTGCGCCGAGGCGCTTAGTGCTTTTGCATTCACTCAACTTACACAATTAGCCCCGGGAGTAAATAAGACGTAGTTACGAACACACACACGCACAGGAATTACTGTACAGAAAACATTACGGGGTTATGTTATTGTGTCTCCAGAGGCGCGTACGCGAGCGTGATTGTGACACAACTTTCATAAAACACACTGCTGTTATCGCACTCAATGTCTTTCTTGTCCACACACAGGGTGAAATCAACCCAAGTGTGTGTGTGTGTGTGTGTGTGTGTGTGTGTGTGTGTGTACCGCAGAGTGCCACTGAATGTGTGCATGAGCAGTCCCAGCGCAATTCCTCAGTTTAGTGGAGCATTACGGCTGATCAATAGCTCTGGTGCAGTGGGAGATGTCGGGGTTGGGGCTGCATATTCATACCATTACGGCTGAACTGAGAAATGAGGCACCAAATGAGAAGTATGTGTGTATATATTAGTGTGTGTGTGTGTGTGTGTGTGTGTGTGTGTGTGTGTGTGTGTGTGTGTGTGTGTGTGTGGATCTTAGGGGGACAAGACAGGCCCCATCACCTAGGAGACAGCCTGCTACTCGCTAAACGGTACCCAGGGAAAGACAAAGATGCAGCATGAGATCACTTTCTCTCTCTCTCTCTCCCTCTCTCTCTGGACTTCCTGTCTTCATCGTTGCCGTCACAGGACTTTACCATCCTTGTCTGCTCACTCCTTTGGCAACAAGGCCGGTCCGTCCTCTATTCCCCCTTTAGTCCTGCTTTTCCTATAAACGTTTTGCATTCTCCTGTCACTGTTAGAAATCACACATTCTCCTCTCCTCACCTCCGTCCCTCCAGTGTTTCCTGATCGTTCCTCTGCTCTCAGCGTCTGTTGGTTCTGTCAGATGTTTATCGTGCCCAGCTCAGCTTTTATTGTAGACAACGCATTGTTGGGAATTACAAAAAGGATAGAGGCAGTTTCAATTCAATGAGCAGCGAAAAGGCAATTTTTTCTCTTTCCCTTGTTTTTCCTTCGTGTTTGAGACGCAGCGGGCTGTCAACTAACTCCAATGTAAACCCATCCACGTCACTATTAGACTAGAATAAACAGCGAGAAAGTTCTCGTAGGGCTATCCAGGGGGCTTGTTGAATGTATCAAACAAACACAGGACTTACACCCAGGAGACCGTGTTCGAGTCCCACGTGGAACCAAGTCATGTTGACGTATTTTACCGTAGTTTTGTTATGCAACTTCCGGACTTTTACCAACGCCAGTTATGTAATAGTTATGTTATGCAGCAAACATACTTATTTTAACCCCAACCACAATCTTTTCTTTGGCTTAACCAAGTAGTTTTACTGTGTACGGAAACCTAAATCATTTCCAATAATAGCAATTAACCACAAGTCTGCTGTCCAGTGACCACAACACCCACGCTGCATTGCACAACAATTGCAAGATGGGGTGCGAAAGCTAACGGCAACAGTCAGGCGGTCAAACTGCTGCTGTATGAGCAATGGCTTGTGACAAAAGGTTTTCAAATAGCGTCCCTCTGTGTTTACGTCAGTGCGTGAAACCCCCCGCCACCCACCGGCTGTACAGGGACAATGCATCACGCAACTCTGTGTGTGTGTGTGTGTGTGTAGGTCATTCAGACTACATGCAAATGTTAGAGGAGAGACTGTGGTGTTAAACTCAATAGGGCACAGCCATCTGAAGGAAGAGTACATTAGTCACTGTGTTCACACTCACACACACCAAGGCGTTCAGACGTTGCAGCCTTTACGGTTCACACACACCATGCCTCACATGGCGATATGTGTGATAACACTTCTTTGGACGTACGCGTGAAACAAGGTAACATGGCGGACGGATCAAGGCCCTCAGCATTGATGTCATTGGCAGTGAGAGAGGCTTTTCTCTACTTCTATTGTCTGTCTTTTCAAAAGAAAAAAATGGAGGTCCACTCTGCATCTTTCTCCTTGTCTCGACACTCTCTTACATGCAATCTCCTTCCCTCTTACAGTATCTGCTCAATCTTTCCTCTCTCTCGTCTTCCTTCTGTTCTTCTACTCACAACGTGAATGACCTCACCTCTCATTTCCCATGTCTCTTCTGCTTCCCCTCCTTTCCCCTTGCCCGTCTGCCTCTCCTCCACTGCAAAAACCTCCATCTTATAAAGCAATTATTGTCTGTCCTTTATTGGAGTTAGAAAGAAGTGATCATACGAAACCTCTCATTTCTACAAAAGTCTAAAACTGTTAACATGAAGATTTATCACACTGTGCTGGCAGATTTTTGCAAATGTTTCAAGTAAAAATTGAACTTCCCAGGCTCAAACACACAGCAGTTCATTTAAAAAGCTAGATATTTATTCTCGCTGTTCTCACTTCTGTCTCAAACCGGAGAAATTGTTCACAGTTTTCATTCTGGCAAAGAACTGAAAGACATCAACGGCACTCGATGTAGTCAAATCAACTGATTTCCTTTTCTTCCGCTACCTTCACATCTGCTTTGCAAACATTTTCTATTTGTTTTTTGAGTTCTCCTTTTCCTCACACAATCCCTTCTCACAATCCCCACCGTCTACTCGTTTCACTTCCTACCTTCACAGCTGCTGTGTCCCTCCTCGTAGCCGGCGCTGCAGCTGCACTTCCCAATGGGCACCAGCCACTCCCCCTCGGCGCTGCAGTGCATCCTGGGAGGGCTGTCGGTGTCAACCTCGGAGTTGTTGACGCAGGCGCCGCGCACCTCCACCAGCGTGGCGAAGGCCGCCTCGGCCACCGTGTCGGGGAATACCGCCAGGTTCTGGACGGTGGCGAGGCAGCGCTTGTAGTACACTCGCACGGCCACCAAGGCCACGCAGGCACCCACGTCCTGGAAGGCCAGGTGGAAGCCCTTGCGGTTGAGGTGGCCGATCTCGCGCACCTCCGTGTTCAGCTTCATCTTCCGCTCGCCCAGGTCGCCCTGCGTGAAGCTCTCGTCCGCCGCGATGGTGTCGATCTTGGTGTAGCGGTCCTCGCGGGTCACGCCGCCGAGGTCCCGGTCTGTCTCCACGTAGAGGAGGTTGAAGGTCTCCTTGCACGTGCCCGCCACACCGGGGATGCTGTTGCAGTCACGCAGCGTGAACTGGAGCTCCACGAAAATGCGCTGGCCACCGCGCCGCGCCACCCAACCCGTCTGCAGCCAGTTGTTCTGCTGCGTGGGCTCCATCACGTTGCACACCTGGTACGTCCGGATTGGCTTGTACTTCTCATCTACGCCGCTTATTTCCTCCCACTAAAGAGATGGAGGCAGGGGCGGAAAAGAGGATTAAAAGGTGGAGGTGTAGTGAGGAGGATGAGAGAAAATATCCAAGAGGAAAGGAGAACGAGAGGTCGGGCGGATGACCATAAAAGATGGTAAGGTTATATAATTTAAACAAGGAGGAAAAACAGTGAGTGCAGTAAAAATACGGGGGAGTGAAAAGGCAGAAAACAAAGTAAAGTGAGGTGGGCAGCAGGCAACGAAGATAATGAAAAAGAAAGTCAAAAGTCAGAGAAAGAAGGAACACAGTCAGCGCAGGTTAACAGTCTAATGACATAATCTGATGAGTGGGTGTCTGCAGAAGCATCGGCACTCAGATTCTTCGATATCGTCACAGAGAAACTGACCTCGGCCATTACATCAGCCTCGGAGTGCTGTGTCTGAAACTACGGGTCAGACCGTAGTCGCTTTTTCAGCCCGTGTCTTTTTATTTCCACCGCCTTTGTCACTGAAGGTAATGGCATTTGAGAGGAATGCTTTATATTCTATATTATAACATTTTCGCCTCCACGCTGATGCTTTCACTCCTTATAAATTGCCTTTGAATAAACATACAGCAAGAATGTTCCCATTTGCTCTGAAAATGGTTAATGAATAAAGAAGTTGTTTGAAAGAAAAATAAAATTGACGAATTTAGGATTCAGAGCAGCTGTAGCGTTCCCTCTAGATACATACAACAGTTAAGGGACTGTACATGAATGATTAAGAGGGGACTGGCTCAGAAAGGGAAGGGATTTATACAGAATGATGGTTTATTTTTTAATGAATGGAGGGTAGTCGTACTTCTTTTTGGTTCGAGCACTTTTCATTTCAGATTTTATTTCATTTCTCTCTTTTCTTTTCGCCACGGGTCATAAAGGTGTGTTTGGCCACAACAATCCAACAACAACAATCTTGTCATAGTTTTAACAATTGGCAGCTGTATGACAAATATTGTTTCATTAACATAATAAAGATTTAAAGTGGATTAGACCATCTTTAATTCTATGCCCTTTAAGCCATTTATAAAAAGTGAATTGTACCACTATTCTTATATTAGCTTAGGTTATCGGGAGAGGGTGTTACAATTGTTCTGTTATTCAAGGGAGGGTGGAGTAAATGTACTGAGGGCCTTGCTTTTTAAGTTCAGCACACCAGCCCCCGTCACCACGCAAATAATTGACTTACAGTCCCTAAGTATGTCCAACATGGCAGAGTTAATATGATTGATGTACTTTCAATGAGTGGGGAAAACTTTTAATCTGAAATATTATTTGTTCAGTGGATGAATGATCACAACTGCATGTCACTTTTTGAATTACAGAGAATTACTCTGACTTGACAGAAGTCACTCTGATAATCTGCGTGTGTGTACGTGCGTGCTTGTGTATGTGAGACACACACACACACACACACACACACACAGAAAGCCAGGCAGTGAAAATAGATTATCCGTGATGGTAACGTGATAAACTGCACTACTACCAAGATGCAGTGTGTTCTCTCTCGGTTCTATTGGGGATCGTAGGTGAGTCACACAAGTCCATTAATCTTAGATTTAGCTTTGCATGTGGTCCGACTGCCACCTCGAGCCGACTCAAACTATAAACTAAACACTGCGTATGTGTACACTGCTGTTTATATAATAGACACCTCGGGTGTGTTGTGCACGTAAAGGCCAGCCTGGGTGACAAAGTGCTTTGGCAGAGTCTTTAGAAAAAGAAAAAAAAAGGGCTCCTGGCTTTGTCTTACAGTCATAACTTAGCGCCAAGCTTTTTTTTGTTTACGAGCGATCGATACTGAGAGGAATATCTGTGTGACTGGTTTGGACACTGCAGTAGCCTTGCCTGCATAAGCACCAGCGATTAATGATAATGATGAGCTCTGGACTGGGAGAGAGGAGAAGGTGTGAGAAAGGAAGGGAACGACGAGAAGAAGAAGTAAAAATAACAAAGGGGGGGGAGATGAGGTGGTGTGGGCCAGCTGTTAAGCAAGCAGCTGTGTTCTGTAGCCGAGCGCATGAACGAACAAACAAACATACTGACTGCAGGTGAAAAATGCAAGTAAGCACTTACTCCGTTGGGGGGATAGGACGTCCAGCCCAGCTCTGCCTGAGTCTCTTTAGAATTCAGCAGCACCACTGCAGGGAATAAAGGGGGGGGGAGAGAGACACACAAACAGAAGCATAGAGGTCAGTTTTGGAAGGATTTAAGAGCCAGTCTGCATATATTTTCTCTCGTCAGTATAAATAACTTTGTCAACAGTGTGCCATGAGTGCGTGTCAACAAAGCACGCTAAAGACTAACTCAGGCCTGTAAAAACCTGGCGTGGGTGAACGTGTCCTTTGATAAGTGCATTAATACCATCTGTTGAGGACTTAAGCTGGACAAAGAGCTTTCCATCATCCGCTGGCTTCGGCAGTAAAAACAGACCAGGGGCCGCAAGCAAAACACAACCGCGGAGCTTGCAAAACAAGTCGAAACAGTAACGGTACCCTCTGTTAGCTTTCAATTTGACAGGGAGCAGGCGTGAGCTTTGAGTCTGTTTTCAGGACCATGGACAGGGAGCAAAATGACAGATTTGTGTCTGTTTTCAGGACCATGGACAGGGAGCAAAATTACAGATTTGTGTCTGTTTTCAGGACCATGGACAGGGAGCAAAATTACAGATTTGTGTCTGTTTTCAGGACCATGGACAGGGAGCAAAATTACAGATTTGTGTCTATTTTCAGGACCATGGACAGGGAACAAAAAGACAGATTTGTGTCTGTTTTCAGAACCATGGACAGGGAGCAAAAAGACAGATTGTGTCCATTTTCAGGACCATGGACAGGGAGCAAGAGGAAGTCGGTTTTCATAATTTTGTGACATTACATAGACAAGTGAATCATCTACAAAATATAAAAACTTTCAGTTATGTTGTAGTACTACTACTACTACTACTTCTACTTAAGTACAAGATCTGAATGCGTCCACCACTGAAAAATGGATTGCAAATGATAACAGTAAGTACCGAGTACCTAAGCACCCTGTTCACACCAAACTAGGCATATCAACCAAGAAGCCACAGTTCAGCAGTCGGAGCAAGAATGGCCGTTGTTTCAAAGTCAGTAGTATGCAGAGGGCGTACCTGATAGTCTTCATCATCAGCACATTTATCCTAATCTAAAATGTAATATCAACATCTGTAGCGACATATGGTGAACTGCATTACCGCCTCATGTTTTTAAAGGATTTTGCTGACATCAAAGTTACCCATGCTTTAAGATCGTCTGCTTAAAAAGACCCCCCCCCACACACACACACACACACACACACACACACACACACACACACACACACACAGGCTCTCTTGCCGTGTTTGTGAGACGTACAGCCTTGAGGCTGTATGAGTCTGACAACCAGAACCTTTTTTCCCCAACACTTTGACGAACACCCTGTGCAAAGACCCTTGAAAAGTGATACCTTCCCTCATGTACTTTAACTTTTGTTTTCTGCTTTGACTTTCAACCATGTGAGGAGCCTTGTGAGGTGCCATTACAAACAACCTGCGTGACACAGTCTAGAGTAGACTCCTTGACAAGAAGCCATTTCTCCTAATCCTGAGCAATGCTGGCGTTCTTGAAAAATACTTTGATTTCATACCGACCGCTACAAATACTTGGCCACATCGACATTAATAACCGGGCACATGGCCGCAAGGAGAAGAAACCTACGCAGCATGACTCATGCTGTAGGCCTTGAGAGAAAAAAAAAAAAAAAAAAAAAAAAAAAAAAAAAGAGCCTGTAACCTCACTGACTCATGCTCTGACAGGGAGGCTATGGACTCTGACACAAAGATGTGCTGATGCACCCAAACGGGAGGGAAGATTTTTGATGTGTTATTACACTTGCACAGAGAAGCGAGTGTCGAAAACAAACCTGTCGATACATTGGATGAACTTTTCAAACAAAGCCGCGTTCTACTTTCAGCAAAAATAAACTGAGAAAACTATTTTCTTGGATGCGTTCTTTTACATAATTTTTTCATCCCGAGGCCACGACTCCAGCCGCTCAGGGGAGGAATATTAATAACGTTACATAAACATTATTTTGAGATTCAAGAAAATTTGCTCTTCAGCGTCACCACAGTTTGGATGGCTAAATCCTTTAGCGGCCAATGAGAGGGAAGAGGGTCTTTTTTTGTTCTTCGTTTTCGGGCTTGAGACACTGGCACCTTGGCGTGACACGTGGGTGTAAGGAAGCCTCGCTGGACCATGAGAGGTCCTTTACTAAACACTTAACCCCAAAAATACTTAAGTTAACACTGCCGGGTGCCCAAAGCATGTTCTGTGGTTCGCTGATAACATAGAGGCATTTGGAGGAGATTAGAGTGGGAGAGGCCAAGGGTGGTGGAGAGACGCTGAGAAAAGGCTGAGGGGGGAGGCGGAGGAGGGCGAAGAGAAGCAAGACAGAGAGCCAACTTGAAAGGGAGAAAAGATGAAAAATAAAAGTCAAGAGAGAGACGGAGAAAAAAAAAAAAAAAAAGGGAGAGAGAGAGGGGGGAGCACACAGTGCAAATAAATGAATACTCGGGGCAATACACAGAGGGATCAGTGTGCCTTAGTGAGCAGTCAGTCAGTCACAGAGAGAGACTCCGTGGACAATGTTGGCACTACGATCACACACTGAACACATAAGTCCTGTCATCACAGCCTAGTTAGACAGACTAATGGGCCTTTGGGGGGC